TGTTGCTGTTGCTGTTGTTGTTGGTGCTGTGGTTGTGGTTGTGGTTGTGGTTGCGGTTGCGGTTGCGGTTGCGGTTGCGGTTGCGGTTGCGGCTGCGGTTGCGGTTGCGGTTGCGGTTGCGGCTGCTGTTGCTGCTGCTGCTGCTGCTGCTGCTGCTGGTGGTGGTGGTGGTGGTGGTGGTGGTGGTGGTGGTGGTGGTGGTGGTGTTGGTGGTTGTGGTGGTTGTTGTCTCTGTTTGTGTATTTGGTTTCAGTGTTTTGCTGGCTGTTTTTTGTGGTTGAACCAGGGTTTTAGCGTGTAAGGTCTAGGCCTGTACCACTGTAGGTTTTCATGGTCGGCTTTATCGTTTAGAATGTAGAGTTAAGGGCTTCAAGTTTTTCGGGTATTTAGGCCAAGTGTTTAGGGTTTACGGTTTACAGCTTGGGGCTTAGAGTTTACGGTTAAGGGCCATGGGTTTTGGCTTTACGATACAAAGGTTCGTAGATTAGGGCTTATAAGGGCTCGGGCACACACACACACACACATGCGCGCACGAAGCCGCTGGCAGAAGGTCAACCGTTAACCACCGGGCTAGACTCCTTGACCTTTCTGAAAGGAGACACGGTAGAAGCAGAGGTGCTGGAGGAAGGGAACGATGCTGCTTGGCACCTGAACTTTTTTGTCTTCTCCACCAACAGCACCCTCTAGCTCGCAACTATAATATAGGGGCCTGAATAAATAATTACCTATATTATTGTGGTGGTTCCTTGTTCTAATTATAGTATAATGTGCCCCGAAGCCCTATTCCTTATAAAGGCCCCCCATATTACGCAGAACCTAACCTTAAACCTTCAACCCTTTGTTTTTCAACGCTGAAGTGGGTCCGACTGCTGTTTTAACCATGTCATGTCTGCTTTAGAGTGTTGGTTTAGGGAATTACAAGTTACAACAACCTAAAGGCGGGCCCACGAAGTTCCTTGTTCTCTGAAGCTGTGTCATTTGTGGGTTTCGGCAAGCAACAGCCGAATGGTGCATTGTCAGAACCAGTCCACATGGGAGGGTTTTGCCCGTGGTTTGCTTCAAGTGTGAAGCGCTTGTTTAGGGTTTAGGGTTTAAACCCTAAACCCTAAACCCTAAACCCTAAACCGACAAGGGCCCAAGATGGTCCGAGTATCCAACACACAGACACATTTGCAATATGCTGACCTACACAACCATCAATTATCAGGGTTTAGGGTTTAGGGTTTATAGGGTTTAGGGTTTAGGGTTTAGGGTATCCCACACCCAAGCAAAGAGTAATAAAATTCGTCGGCCATCTCATTTCTGAGCCAAAGTCATAATACACCATACAGCCAAAAATTAACACCCAGCGCCAAACGCTGAACCGTAAGCCTTTAACCCTAAAGCTCTTCGACCCGGAAGGGTCTTCAAGCTCAAACTACGGAGTCAGAACCATTAGAAATGGTACCAACTCCCTCCAGGGTTACCATAATATGATATAACCCAAAACCCTAGTCTAGTTACTGAGGCCCGAATACCTTCAAAAGGTTTCAAATTCCGACAAGAGCCCATAGACCCTTTATCGGAAGCCTATGACAAACTCTAAAGCTCTATACTCTATACTACGCCGATTAGATTGACTCATTCGCCGACGCCTTGAATCCTACAAAGATCACGTCCGGATTTAGGGTGTCGGGTTCAGTGTTTAGGGTTTAGGGTTTCGAATTCAGGGTCTAGGGTTTAGGGCTTCGCGGGTAGGCCTCAGCTTAGATGTGGCGGAGATCTTGAGCCCTCGATTCCAAACGTTAGTGGCAAGACCCTACCTATGCTTGCCATGGTAGTTACTTGTTTTGGTTTATCCAATTTTGTATTAAGGATCCGAAAAGGTAGCCCCAAAAATAACTAACTACATTGGAGACTGATTATAGGTAAACACTAGACCCCAAACACCGAATTCGCAAAGCCCTCGGAACCTCCACAGGCCTGTGATTTCTAGGATGTGGGAGGCCCGGCAACCCATGTGCCTGTATAGTATGTACATATATATCTATATATATGTAT